ATAGATCTGTATTTTTTTAATAAAAATTACATCATGAAGGTTTATGCAGTGAAAACCTTCCAAAATACTAATCAATTTTCATTTTTCTCATGTGACAGCAACCAACGCTCCTATTGGTGAGGTCAGACTTGTCAAAATACTCCAGACGACCAATAGGGAGGAAGCATCAACGTCAACATTATTTTAAAAACCAAAAAAACATAAATTTTGTAATAACCACACTAATTTTGTCTTCAAGTGGCTTAAAATCTGAATATTTTTTACTTTTCGATGCCATTTTTCTCCATGTGACAGCAACCAACGTGCTGATTAGTGACCCCAGACTTGTCAAAAATACCCCAGACCAATAGGGAATAGGTGTCGAGGTCATTGAGATTTGAGCCAGAATTTAACATGGGAAGTATAGGGAGCAGTGTTGCCAGGCCCTGTCAACCGAAAATGGGTAGAATTATCGAGAAAAATCGGTAGATATCAGCAAAAAACGGTAGATTTCAAAAATCAAACGAAATTTGTAGAAAACAAAGTTTTTAATACTAAAAAGTAACAAAAAAAACTAAAACATACATTAACTAACATTTTTAAAAAAGAAAAATCGTAGAAAATAAAAAACAAAACCCATTATATAATTAATATTTTTAAAAGAAAAAACTTAAATAATAATTAAGGGCCATTTTTTACAAAATTTTAATATTAGGAAACTCTATAACTGCAAACTGTAAAACTATCGAATTGGGAATTATCTTTTACTTTCCAAAATTCCCCAATTTATTACTTCGTTGCTTATAATTCCCCGATCCCAGATTGCTAGTGTATGTTCAGAGTACGGTAAAGAATGGTGGAAAGTCTATAGTTTGTTTTACTTTTAATGCATATTTCAATAAGTGATATTTAACAAATAATTAAAAGTTATGGACTTTTCACAATTTTTTATAGTATTTAAAAGCTAAAACGTAAAATACACTCTTTTATTTTTATGCTAATTATTTCATGAAACTTGTGTTAAGATTTAAAAATGTACTATCGATGAGGTGACGCAAATTTGCAATCGTGCTTATTCGAAAATACGTCTCATCGTGTTACGTATTTGTTGACACTAAGATATAGAAATTTAAAGTGCGTCTTGTATTACTTCGAATTCAAAATTGTTTTCCAACCTAAGAAAAAAGTTGAGTTGGGTCTTAAGAAAGTTTGTAAAATGCAATGTTAAGTGAATGTATAATATAATCAAAGATTATTTGAAAAATCGGTAGATTGCCTAAAAAATCGGTATATCGGTAGATTTGTATACATTAATATCAAAATCGGTAGATCTACCGATTAATCGGTAGCAATGGCATCACTGATAGGGAGTGAGAGGCCTGTGGTATTGTAGTAATGAGTGTACCAATGAGAAATAAATTGTTTTCAAATGATCAGTCTTTAAAATTGATTAAAGTTTCCTAAATTTATACACTATGTATTTGATTCTTTTAATTAATGCTTCCTTTCTGAATTATTTTCTATTTATTTTTTGATTTATCTTTCTTTTCTTGCCTTCTGTTTCCTTGTATGATTTGTTTCCTAATTTACTTTTTTCTCGTTTTTTTTTATTTCTTCAATTTTTATTTTACTTTTAATTTTTTATAATTTTAATCTGTCTCTAACTTCTTATGCTCCAATTTCTATATTTATCTCTTCTAGTTTTATTTTTATTTTATAAATTTATTCCTTGATATTTTATTTCTACCCTCTCATTTTTCTTTGGTCATTATCTTTTAATTTAAATTTGTCTTCTTTCTTTTATTTCTTCTATATTTTCTTAATTATTTTTTCTATTTTTTTAATTATTTCTTCTTCATCGTGTTTTAACCCTCGACTTTCTTCTTTTAGTTTCTTTGTTATGATCTATAATTTCCCTTACTAATTCCTTCTAATATCCTGTTATTGTTTGTTTTCTGTCTTTCTTCATTTTTTCATTTCTTTTGTCTGCCTTTTTTAACTTGTTTATATCTTTACATTTTATATCTCATTTTCTCATTTTGTTTTTAACATGTTTTCTTTATTCATTTCTTCTATAAATATGAGTAAGCTATAATTCTATCCTTATTTTTCTTTCCCTTCCTTTTCTTGTATTACTATTTTTTAAAGTTTGTTTATCTATATCCGATTGTCCTGGCTCTTCCACTTATTTATATTATTCCTCTATCAAACATTCTTTTCCATTCTTAAAGCCATTTAATCTTATTATAATTTTATCACTTTCACAGATTAAATTTAAAACTCACCCAGCACCGTTATCTACCTCTAATTCTCTCATATGCATAGAAAGTAACAAAATCAACAACTCAAATGAAAAAAATTCCTAAAAGTTACACTTAAATAATTTTAAATTCATATGTTACTCCAAAATTTAATCTAAAACTTTCGAACCTAACTTTAGCTGGCGATACTTGATGTGTAATCGTTATGTATGTTAGCAGCGGTGTGCTTTTTTCTCCACCACACATTCTTGAAGTCCATACTTATGCGTGTCAGGATGGACGAGCGGGAGAAGGCAGATCAGCGCAGTGGGCAGTACGCTAATAGACAGTGGCAATACCACAGCAACATTGTAATTGAGAATACTTGATCGTGAAATAAACCATTGAAAAAGCAGTTTAAACATTTTTATTAGGGATGATACATCCCTTATATTTATATGTATACCAAACTAAAAAAAAAAAAACTTCCCAATACTTTCAAAGAGACGGTTCGTTCTCCTTTACAATTTAGATGTCACCGGGTTACTGATGATCTCCTCCTCTTATCTCTGTGTCTATACATACAAAATCAACCAAAAACATCCTTATTTTTAAATTAAATAAATTTTGATTTTAGGTAGCAGCATATTTCAAATTTGACAAAGTTTTGACGACGCTAGTAATTTCCATATCAATATTTTCTTAGAAGTAAATTACTTTTCTGTCGAAGTAACAAAACTTTTAAATTGCCATTATTTCTTATGACACATTTAAGATCGACATAATATTAAATTGAAAGTAATTTACTTCAGTAAATCTTTGTCTTTAATTTAAACTTTTATTTATTTCCGTGTATTTCTAGTTACTCTTTTAATAGATCGCTTATTTACATACAACTTAACTGAAACGCTTACTCAGTGTTTATTTCCTTAAATATAAATCTAGAACATTGAATATAATTAAATGTATAAAATGGATTGTTTGTGGATAAATCGTTGAATAAATTTCGCAAAAGCACTCTGAAACGTCTTTGTTAAATTTGTTATAGAACTGAAAGAACTGGAACTTTGAAAATATGAGAATTATTTATTAGTATTTAACTATGTGGGTACTACTAAGACTATCGGTTTAGTAAGAAAACTATGTCAACAGATTATTAACTTTCTTACATTATCTTCTATTAAGAAAGACACGTAATTTTAGAAGAACATAAACCGTATGACTATTACAACTGTACTTGCATTGCGCATATGCGGAAACAAAGTATCTCTTTTTGTCTTACGCTCTATTTTCTCTATGTCACATACCGTAAAGCTAGGTTGCGACATGCTAGCGATGGTATCTTCTGTACTTCTTAGGGCTCGGCCACGCTTGCGAGCGACTTATCGCGAGAAATAAATCGTGGACGACTGAACGATAAAATATTTCAAACCTATTGAATTTCATCGAAGTGGCCATAGCGAAAAATCACTTAGCAGCTAAGCGTGTCGCTCTGTTTTCAATTCGGTTTGATTTTTAAGTGACTTTTGTTTATTTTTTTTAAAGCGACTTTTCTTGCATTTTGTCTTGCAAACTGGATAGTGCACATTCACAATGTCGGATTTTAAAGTAATTTTAATTTCGGTGCAAAGTAGACCCATTTTATGGCAGACAAGTTATGGGCAGAGAGGTCCGACTTGCTTGCGGTGTAGAAGGTAAGTTATTTTGCGTGAAATTATTATGAGGTTATGTTATACAAATACTTATAAAGTTTACCATTTTTAATCGTATAGAAATAAAAATAAATACAAGTAAATACAGATGATTACTGATGTTCATATAAATATGTTTCAAACATCTCTCTAATTTGTTTAGCTTCTCTGGACGATCGATTATAATTTCTTCCTTGTCCTTGATTTAATTGAACAGCATTTTCGTACGTTTGCATATTTAAGGTTTCCATAACAGTACAATAATCAAGATCAGTTTTACCGTCGTGACTTCGTATAAAATTATGAAGTATGCATGCACATTTTATTAATACGCTAGCTTTATCGGGATATGTCTCTATATCTATTGATAAAAAGCGCCATTTTGAATAAAGAATTCCGAACGCACACACATACATTTTTGGGCTGTAGAGAGACGCGTACTGAAATATTCTCTTCTTGGTGTAAGCACTCTTCGTGGATACGGCCGCATTAAGTATTTTTTCAAAGGGTAAGCCTTATCACCAATTAAAATATTAGATAATTTTATGTTTGATCCTGGTAGTTCTTGATCTGGGGGGACGGAAAATTGTTTAGTTTCTAATAAGTTAAATAAGGTTGATGCGATAAATGTCCCTCCATCGCTCTGCTTTCCCCTGCCCCCTACTTTTATTGTCAGGAGCCTTTTATGGGCATCAGCCACACTCTGTAGTACTATCGAAAAGTGTTTTAAATATTTAAAATAACTCTATCCTGAATTTGGCGGAAATTTTATTTGACAGTTCTTGCCGTCAATTGAGCCAATGGGAAATTTCCATCGATTGTAATAGTCGAATATTACTTTCTGTAAATGTTCCTCAGTAAACACGGGCATATATTCATGTACCAATTTACTCCAAATTATTTCGGCTATTTAAAAAACTATCTTACTTATTGTGGACTTGCCCACTCGGAATGAAAATGCTAGACTTATTAATGAACATCCGGTAGCTAAATACCTAAAACAAGAGCAATCAAATTAGTTTTTCAACATAGTACAGGGCCACTCCAGTTATAAAGGGAATCCCAAAATGATGAAACACTAACATATCAGGAACTTTTACTTTGTTGGAAAAAGAAGTTAACCGAGGTGATGAACCAGAAAGTGCTGATTTATATTTTTTCCGAAGTTTACTGCCATATATGAAACCTTTATCGCTATTTGATAAATTAGAGTTTAGAAGTAGTATACAACAATTAGTATTCGACAAATTTAAGGAAACAAGAAGAAAACCATCACTCAACAGCAGCCACCGGTGCAATAGAAACAGCAATCTGTTACTCAAAGGCAGCCACTGGTGCAACAGAAACGGTGCTCTTATTCATTTCCACGCAGGCCACTCCAGTTACAAAGGGAATCCCAAAATGATGAAACACTAATATATCAAGAACTTCTTTTACCTTGCTAGCCCTCACAACAACCGTTATCACTACCACAATATGAAAATAACTATTACCCAGGGACACCCAAGAAAAATAGTTTTAACGCGGGCTCAGAATTTATCTAACTAGTTTTTTTACTTACCTTATTGTAACCACTAATCTTTCTTCAGTAGAAATTGGTTTTCCAAAATTGGTAGTTTTTTTACACTTCTTCTAATTTTATTTAGTAGCATGTCAAATGTGTTTATGTGCATTCTAAAGTACTGGAAAAGCCTCTATGGGTATTTTCGCAACTGTTTGTATAAGTGATGAAATTCTCCGTATGCTTTTCTGTATCTACATCATATTTTCTTTTACACTTTAACAAAAAGTCAATAATTGGATCATCTTCCAAAAGGAGGGAAATTCGACGCGTTTGTGTGAGAGGCATGATTAAAACTGATATTTGTATCGCTTTTGCCAGCTATCATGTGCCATTTGAACAAATGTCGCTTACGTTAGTCTGGCAAAAAGGTAGCGATATGTTATGGCTGTTTATTTTAATAAAAACCATGGAAACGAAACAAACATACACACACTCACACAAATGTATAAGGCCCTCTTAGCGTTATCAAGATCAATAAATTTATATGCCATGCCTTCTAAAAGGGATATCATCACATCATCATTTAAACAGGACGTTGCTGAAGGCTTACCCCATTTATGTCGTCTGTTTGTGTATCTTGTGCGTGTACATTCCTGTTGTGTCCTCAGTCATGTAAAAGTTTTCCTAGTCTCCTAATTTGGTTACTAGGTAGACCTTCTCCAACTAGTCTAATCTATTTAATCTGTTCTGCAGCAGGAGGTACTTTTCAAACAGCAAATAATAATAATAATAATAAACACTTTTAATTACTATTGTAATTTTTTTTTATTGCCCCTTATCTGGCTCCTACACCACCAGGGTATACTCATTTTCCATATTCTCTTAATTATAGATTACCTTACAATGTTTGAATGAATATAACATTTCACCAATGAAAAATCTAATTTCAAATTTAACACTTTTTCAATTTCATTTGAAACAATTGGTATATTACAATTTAGTATCAAGTAAATCTTCTAATAAAGTTATAGCAAATCCTACTTAAACTACTGGTTGTTCTGCAGGATAAATTAACTTTTCTTGAGATTGATCTCTCTAAAATCCAAAACCGACCTAATGTCCCCCAATTTATTTTCCAATGCTTCCTGATTTAAAATTCTGCCCTTTTGTGATTCAAATTTTTTCTTCGTTTAAATGAATCTACAATCTTCTGAGTGGCTATTAGAGGTAGGTGCATATAAGAAATAGCCAACATCTAATAATTTTAAAAGTCCTTTGCCAAAATGCTACATGTGCAGAGATTTTTTACTCAGCATACATTTTACTTCTTTTTTAGTGGGTGGGAACTTTGTGCTGCCTTTAAAGCTGTCGAGACATTCATCTACCTACTTAATGAACAAAAGTAGCTGTAACAATTGATCTCTGTTCCAATTCACCTAAAATAATTATAGCCATTTTGTATTATATTACTAAACACACACATTATACATTGTTTTTCTTAATAAATTGGAAAATATTTACCTCTAGAAAGAAACGTGTACAAAAACGCGAGTTTAGTTACAGAAATTGCTACAAGCAAAAAATAATATGCGAAAATTAACATTCTCCCCAAAGAAAATTAATTAAACAACAAAATCAGACTTAAAGAAATAAACGAACCCAAATTAAATTAATTTTAATAAAATGCACACATTCATAACAACATTCATAACATTGTCAGTTGTCAGTTCTAATCTATAAGTCGACGTCAAAAAACCAGCAACATCAGCGACCTCTTAGATTGGTGTTAGTTTTATTGTGGAGAGATAAATATATGTATAGATCAATGTAAAAGAAAAAGAAAGTCATGTATGTAATTTAAATGGACCACCGAACAAATTTTGCTATTAAGTTACACTTCTCTGTTGTCCCTGCTACTACTAAAATGTTCGTATGTCATCTTCGAAAGGGATATACTGTAATATGTTCTTGTTATTTTATCTATTTTTATAGTGTTTTAAGCTCTTATTAATTTGGGGAGTGGGTCAGGTTATTAAACAACTCGTATTACTTTGAAAAAGAATGTTGAGCGCCACTATATTTAAAAATTACTAAACTTGACAATCGATTAGTGATGAAAATATAGAAAATCACTGGTCATTAAGATATTATAATTAAATAAAGTTTTAGATAAGGTAGCGACAAATTCTAATTCACAGAGACTTACTTATTCAAATTTAAATGATTTATTATTGACTTATCTGTGGTATAACAGGTAGCAGGTACAGGGGATTTCTATAATACGTTAGGATATCACCAACTGTTAAATCTTCATAGGTAAAGTTAAATCTGGTAAACTTTCAGTCTTTTTTGCTACCTTAACTAACTCTAATTAGATTAGGCGTAAATTGGTCCTACTTTATTTATATCAGGCGCAAACTTATCTCTCATGTATTTGTCTCGGCGCAAATTTGTCGTAACAAATTTGTTGTAGCAAATTTGTCAAGCGCGAAATATTTCTTTTGCGCTAAAATGGGCCTGATCATGAAATGTTTTAGAGGCAGAGCTACAATTTAAACATTCTCTACATATGAGTCGTCAGAACAGTATTTGTTACGCATTATTTTAATAAATTTTATTAATTAAAGAACATATCTTGACGGATACGCGCTATTTTGTCCTACGCCATTTGTACTTGCACTATTTTGACTTACGCTGTTTTGTCTGCGGCATTTTTTCCTGCGCTGTTTTGTGATGGAGCCATTTTATAAACAATTTTTTTAATTGCAAAACAAATATTTTTATATTTTGGTGGTGATAAGGTAGGCATCATCCCTTTTGATTGCCTTAACGTCTCCCATTTGCCTCTAGATCCGCTTCCACCCCCGTTGGGAACCTATGATCTAGACAGAGATGATTCCAAAAATAACGTATACAAGTTGTAAATATCAAAAGAAAATTTTTTCTAGAATGTTGATACAGTACGGTAAAAGTTGTATGAACCGTGCGAATTTTTACAAGTGAGTTGAACGGTTTAAAAGTAGCCGAACAAGTGTAGATGTGGACGTCCAGTGGAAGTTTCTGCTACCTCGTTGGAATCGAGGATTGACGGATTTATTCGTGATAACAGAAGAATTACTGTTGAAATGATAGCTGAGGAAGTTCAAGTAAGTATTGGAACTGTTCACAATGTCATTCAGAACAATTTAAAGTACAGAAAAACGTGTGCCAGATAGGTTCCCAGACAGCTTACTGACGCTCATAAAGAAGTAAGGCTTTCCATTAGTCAAGACTTAAAGCAACAAAGTTTGATTGAAGGAGATGCTTTCTTTGAAGGAATAGTGACCAGCGACGAGATCTGGATTCATTACTATGACCCTAAGACTAAAAGGCAGAGTATGGAGTGGAAACACACTAGCTCGCCAGTTCGCAAAAAATTCAAGGTTCAACCTTGCCGGTAAAGTGATGATGACAATCTTTTGGGACTTACAGGGTCCAGTCTATCAATAGCTAATACTACTATCAATAGCCAATACTACTCTGAGATGCTAGAACACAAAGTTAGACCAGCTATCAGGAGCAAAGTCCCGACCTCACCCCATCTGATTTTTATCTGTTTGGACCACTCAAAGACGCCCTAAGTGGAAAAAGATTTGCTAACAATGAGGAAGTTAAGAAAGCGGTGCAAAAGTGGCTTCGGGGTAAATCGAAAGAATTCTTCGCCAAAGGAATTAGGAAACTGCAAGAAAGATGGGACAAGTGCATAACTGTGGGGGGTGATTATGTTAAAAAATAGCCTTAATTTTAAAAGATTGAAATTAACCGGTTATGAGCTATAGCCATTTGTCTCTTTATTTATTAAATGACCCTCGTATTTTAACAGTCAGCTGATCTTATTTGACTTGACGTTCGAAAAGTCAAGTATCGACGCTATCATTGTTAAAACGCGTTCGGTTGTGATTCTGATGCTCGAGACAGTATACGTGCATTGAATTCAGTTACTTTATCTTCTCTTCAAAGTCTTGGTGATTTTGGAATATGGTCACAACTTTTTCTGTCGGAAGTGACGGTTAGAGTCGAGCATGCGCGGTGAAAAATATTTATTCAAGAATTTTCGGTTGTGACGTTCTTCCGGATGATGGCCGAGTTTTGCGCCACTTGCTGTTGACAACTATACAGGGCTGGTCACGAGTCAGAATTCGACATCAAAGAAGAAATGTGATTTGGTTTTAGGAAATCCGGAAACATTATTTTATTTCAACCTACGAATGTAGGGATTATTTTCCTGAACCTTATATATGTGTCATTCATTGGGATTATACACTTTTTTCGTCGTTTTGCCGACTGGTAAAGCCAAGCCGTTAGGAAAAAAGTCGTCTATTTCTTGTGGAAAACCCTTTTGTTTAGAAGGTAAGCTTTGTTTTCTCTAAGTTTATTAGCAGTGAAACTTTTTTCGCTTTATGAAGAAAATTTAGTGAGTTAAGAGCCGGTTTTGATTTAAATATTAAACTGGGTAAGTAAATTCTTTGATTTGTAGTAGTTTTTTCATAAACTGGGGAGGAATACTTTACCATAAGCATGTCGGTTATTTGTATTTCTCGAATTTTTAGGGTTTTCATGTGCAGTTTTAGTGTGCAGTTTTAGTGTGCAGTTTTATTATTCAGTTTTAGTATCAGACCGGCATTATCAGACGTGGATTTACGAGTTGATTTTGGTATTCCACCTCCGATGGTTTTGCTACTACCCCTACATACACTAAAAGCATGAACTGAAGTTCTATCTAGTCATCTCTGGCTGAGGATTGTTCATCAGTATTGAAAAAAGCTGTAGAGACGCAGCTGGAACGTTCACCAAAGTTCAACGGAGAACACTGAACCAAGAAACTAAGAAAAAAGAAGAAGACAAAGAAGAAAAAGAAGAAAAGGAAGAATAA